TTTAGAATTTTTTTAAATCACGACATCGCGAAAATATGTGACAAATGAATATTTGTCTATTTTCCGCTGAAACATTCACAATTCTAGCTGTTGCTGATTGCAATTATATAAAATTAAATATTCTTGTTCAATAAAAGAACATTTATATACCGTATTTCTGTACGGTGAATTTGCGGTCTCCGATCGGCAATTATTTTAGGCTAAATAATTCAAAGTGTTGGACTACTTTTTGGAGTTTTTTACACCAATTTCATTAATTAACAATTTGAAATTAAATTCTTGATGGGAATCGTGAATTTTTCATCATATTTTTGTGTAATTTTAGCATTCCTTAGATTGTGTTTAGACATTTTCCGGCTCAAATTGCCGTGCGAGATTTTCTCTCATTTCACAAATTTCTCTGAGATTTTGGTGATATTTTTGCGAGAAATCGCGGAAATCGCCCCCTAGAATGATCCCTGTGTGTATTCATTGCAGGCAAATTTTGGCTGCCATATGGAGGAAATTTCGGCTTTGAGAGGGAAAAAAACATACTATTTTGAGGGGGGAATGGGGCCAAATTTCGCCGAATATTTTGGTGAAAAAAAAACACTGAAAGTAAAGGCTCGACTACTCGAAAAAGTTGTCACAAGGGTGTTTTATTGAGTATAATAATGCTTACCTATGAATACATAAAATTGACCAAAAAGGTACAAAGGCTTGTTGATTAAGATGTTTTATCAAGTTAATCACTGCTTTATTATTATGAATGCATAAAATTGTCCCAAAAAAGCACAAACTCTTCAGTAGTTATGGAGAAAACAGCTTACAAGCAAAACTTTACCATGAATTTCTGAGTTGAAAAGGGGAGAAAAATCAGCCTAAATGCAAAACAGAATTTAATGGATCTTCGTCAGTGACCTACAATTATGACCCATAATGCATATGTGAAGTTTTAAATAAGCCGAAGTCTCCAACATCCCATTGGCATTGAAAAATTATATCTACCTTGAATGGTTTGAGAAATTCCACTAAAGGTTTTCCATAACCAATATAAGGCGCTGTGTCACTTATTGTGTTAATTTCACCTAGGACACTGACAGACCCTGGGTTTGCGACTAGGGTATCAAAACTGTAAACACCTAGTTTAAGATTTAAATTCTTTATGAATATTTCAATGTCCTCTTCATTCATTTTCAGCACAAAAAATAATTCAAACTCATGGCGGTAAACGGAAAAAGGGGGATAACTTGCGCCGCCAGTTTGGAGACTTCGTACCATTGAGACTTCGTACCATGATTTTTCGTACCACTTACATGGAGACTTCGTACCACATATTTTAATAAAGCACATATGCACATATAATTCCATAGTATCTAATGGGAATTTTTATTCAAAAACATCAGTTTGAACACAAATTTTTTGTCATGTTACTGCTAAAAATAGGAAAGAAATGTTGGAAAGCTACTTTGGCAATGGCACAGATATATTGTATATTTAGCTCCATGGTAATGGGCATGTATATGTTTTTGCAGAATAAATATTGAATTGATTAAACAAAGATAACAGAAGTTTAATCGGTTTTTGCAAAGAGATACTCTGGCAAATTATTGACAAAAATGTCAAAATGATGTTATATACTCAAATCACGCTAAATGACATTTTTGTTAGAGTCCCAACATGAATCACGGGGGGGGGGGGGGGGGAATCACAGGAGAATTCATACAGGTATTATTTTCTTGCAGATCTTATTTTCGTACATATAGTATTTAAATTTCATGCAGGTATAATTTTTCAACATATCTTATTCTGTATGTATCTGATTTTCGTAAACAGATATTATTTTCATACGCATTGTTCCGTGTTATCAATGTTCTTTTTACCGTGTGTGTGTGTGTGTGTGTGTGTGTGTGTGTGTGTGTGCGCGTGTGTGTGTGTGTGTGTGTGTGTGTGTGTGTGTGTGTGTTGGTGCGTGCGTGTGTATGTGTTGGTTGCGTTTCCAATGGCACCTGCATATTCACACTGTGGACAACACATTGTAAATAAAGTTATAGTGTGTTAAGTGTATAATCAGGATAATTCACCAATGCGTCTTTTAAAAAAGAAATGAGCGCTGATACGACCAAGATTAATAGACTTTGTTATAACATAAAGCTACGATATTATCGTGTGTTTGTGGTGTTTTTTTATTCTTACTATTCGGTCTTTTTCTAGTTGGTGGATCCAACGTTCCTACTTGAATAAAGTTGATCCCCTTTATAAAATCTGTTTTGTTTGGTCCCGTCAATCGTTTTCTCGTTTAGGACACACACTTACCAGACCTTGGTGATCATACGCCGCTTTTCATGAAATGGCACGGAAGTGTCACATTGAAGGTTCCATGGTAACCGCTGTATGAACCAGCAGCGGATGCTACAAAATTAAAAGTTTCACAATTTCATGTTTAAATGTTGGATTCTACCAAAGCCGGAGCAAGGGGGCATGGACAGTAGTTTGCATTTGATAGTACAATCAAACCGAGCCTGCAACATTTTTAATTTTGCCGTTTTGGACTTTCTTTAGGAATTCTTATTTCCCCTATTTTTTCCCTGCAGGTTGCCTTGGAAAGAGGACAGAGTAAACGGCATGATTTCAGAAACCGGTTGTTAATTATGGTCTGCTCCCCGACGTGCTACTGTCCAAAAATTGATTATTCTCGAAAAATAAGCTGAAAGTTTGAACACAAGTTATTGCTCCAGAATTACATCACATGGTACACAAATGTCGAAAAAAATAATTCCAGTCCCCTTATGTCATACACTTTTGATGATCCCTTTAGTAAAGTTTAATCGTCCAGGCATGGTTAAGGTATATATTGGTCAGAGATGGGGTAATCGGTCACAGTACTTGAAAGCAGCTGTAATTGATTATTCAAAAGCAAGTTATCAGGTGCATTCAATTACTGATCTGAATTTGAAAACCTGTAACTATTTATTTTCATTATGGATGAAACAGCATGCAGTGTTGATATTTGTGATTATACTCTTCTTTTTCTTATTTTAAAATAATAATTTAAAAAAAGTAAGTATAAAGTATCAAAATCAAGTTTTTATTTTTATGTAGCCTTTACATTGTCAAAAATGCGATGTCATTACTGCAGTTTATATACTAGTACATGTAATTCTTTTACGACGATTATTGTCACAAAGTTTCATTTTTAAACCTTATTTTGCAATAACAGTTCTATACACATTTCCCGATATTTCTTCAAAGGTTCCATTTTTGCTGTTGGGTCTTTGGCCAGCTCGTCATATTTTCTCATTCTAAGGATAGGTTGAAATGCTTCTGACTGTTCAAACATGATGGCCTCTTCTTTTGTCATGGGTCCACCTTGATGAACCAGTGTCTTCTTACTAGCATCAGACAGTTCTAGAAAAAGAAAACTTTTAATTATTTATCCTTTGGCTACAAAGGTTAAATTGCGAAGTTAAAGCATAATTCAAAGTTTTTCAAATAAAAAATTTCCTCTGTCTGAGAATTTAGAAAGCCTTTCAATACTTTCTGATATATAAACTTGTTGTTTCAAATGCTAACTCCAAAAGCTACTTTATTTTTTGCCACATTTCATAATTCAATACATGTAGTATCATGCATGCTTTTCATATGTATTAGCAATAAGAATTTTTACCGATTCGTAACGGGATCAGACATAAAAGTTTATATGGTTATTCTTACTTTCATAGTAATCTTTATATTTATAAACAAGATATCTTTTGGCTTGCACATGACCTGCCACGATGTCACAAACAAGTTTTGGGAACCCTTTATCAATAAGATATTTCCCTCCAACGACGTCATGATCTTTTGTCCCAACATTTTCCCCATCAGTCACCATTTCTGGTAAGTTTTCATCTATACCCAACAAGTGACCAACATCATGAAGGAATGCAGCCACTATTTCCTAAATAAAAACGGTATACTCATAAAAATACCAATGTTTAACCGGAATGCTTAAAAACATTTGACATAATTTTGAAGATGCGTTGTATGTTCGCGATTTACTGGCAATCATCTGTTTCGTTTTATGATTGAAAAAAGACATTCGAAAACGATAAGAAGATACACGGCCGAAGTAATAGTGGCTAACTTGCATATGTTAGTTCTTAGTTTTCCAATGCAAAACCATATAGAAATGTTTGTCTAACTTGCATAACAATGATATAACAATTTCTTGTATTATAGTTTGGGGTCTTTTCTTTTGAAAATGTGTCAAAGTTAAATCGTATAATACATGCACAGTGCGTTAACTGGAGTGCAGGTATTAGTTACCCGCACCCCAGAACATGTTCGTTGATTGGCTTATTTTTGCTAGGGTTTACTTATTGTGACGGCAGGGAAAGGGAAAGCGAAAGAAATATCATATTCAGATGCTCGTTCATTGGATACTTTTTCAGGGATTTCATATTGTAACAACAGGGAACGTGTTTTTTTTTATGTTTGACTTTGATACAAAAGAGAGAGAACATCAAAACACTCGGGAATCTGATTTATACTCGGGGACTACGCCCCCTGGTACTAATCAGATAGCCTCGTGTTTTGATGCTCTTTCTATTACTAATTTCATTGACAATGTTTAAGTTAGGATTAATGCCGGCGCACGATATATCATTTACATTTTATTTTAGAATGACCAATGGTATTTCGACATATCATTTTGTAAGTTTAAAATAACCAATGAAAACTCGTGTTATATATTCAGTTCTTCTCTGTATATTTTACAGGATGCCAATTTAATTTCAGTCCGGCCTTCGACCGGGCGATTGATAAAATAAATATATAAATGACCAATGAACCAAACATTTCCATGAACTTGTTTCCATTATTAATTTGCGCAACTATTGATGAATAATTCATATTTGAATGGTTTAGCCAATTTAATTAAAACTTTGCCAGGTTCAATTTGCAAAATATAATTATTTTCATTATGAAAAAAATTCATTCATTTTCTAAAACAATATAAAAACATTGGTGGCTTGATGGGGGCGTCATCGGTACCCGCAATTACCACTACCGTCTATGAACATGCTCGATCAAATTGAGCCTGCAACATTTTAATTTGTTTTGTAACCTATTTAGGGATTTCGTTTCTTTCTATTTTTGTAGCTATATATGACCTCTAAAAACGGAATCACATGTACATTTCTAGGCAAATTCGATTCTTTTATGCAGGAATGATTCAGCACGACAATTAATGGAAACTGTGTAGTTATGCAAGTTGAAAATAGGTTTATAACTAATAATAAGGGCAATAAAATTTAAGTAACACTTACTTCCCGCACAGCACCATCTTTCTCGGCACACATGGCACATTGTATCGAGTGTTGTGTTTTTGTAACATTTTCTCCAAGATACTGTGATTGCCCCGCGTCCTCATACAACCGAAATATTTCATTTACAATTGACACAACCTCCATGATAGAAATATATAGTTCTGAAATAAATAAATGTTGGTCACCTTTATATAAAGATAAGAGATCTAATCTGCCAATCCAATAATTATGGCTAGGTCATCGTCCTTAAAGAGCCTCTATTTTACTTTGGTATTGTATACGATATATTTGGATATCCCTATGAAATTGTCGAAGAAAAAGGTTGTTTTCGCATATTTAATCTTCACCTTAAACAAAGAAAACTATCTGTGGTCTAAGTCAGATAGATCGCTCGTACCAGTTGGATGTGAGATTTATCAACTCGCTTCGCTCGTTGATAAATCTCACATCCAACTGGTACTCATGATCTATCCTATACTTACTGAATACGCAATCTTATGAATAATATATTTAACATTCCTAAATAAATTTCTATCAGAAGAAAATTGGGAAGAATTTAACATTTCTGAATGTGATAACATTACAATTTCAACTTGAGCGTAAATCAACTCAGGATTTTGTGATTCCTGTTGATTCCTCATTTAAACGATTTAATGACGTAACACCATACACAGCGCTTGAATTATAAGCGCTTACCGACAGAAATAATGGGCGATGGCTGCTTATCAAGAAAGTGGCTCGTTGGAGAAATGGGCAGGTAATTTCATTAAGTTTTTCTTATTGCTTAAACAACCCTAGGGAGCAGGATATTTGTTGGTTGTCCGGCTGAAATTGAAAATATTTTACTTGACGGATAGATTAGTTTATTTACTGTATGCTTTATATACACCCTGCACTGGCTTTTTTTTTTATCTCATTCATGAACTGAAAAAAAATACAAACGTCCCTCTGAAGCCTTAAAGCATAACATTTCCTAAGCGTTGCAACAGCAGCCCAGTTACCGTTCCGAAATTCCACCCCTTTCCCCACGAGTGTTATCCCCTCTCCCCAACGTACATCTACAGTGTCTGCTATTAAGAGTGGGCCGGGCATAATTCAGGGTGTGATTATTGAAATCACAGTGCCTGAAAATATTAGCACCATCGTCTTAAACAATTAAAAGCGGTCGTAAAATTTAGATATAGATTTATATAGATTGATAAACGCATTTCATTTCATTATAGATTGATAAACGCATTTCATTTCATTATTGTTGTTTTTTTTCTTACTAACAAATACAGTACATATTCTTGTAAAATGGTGGAATGACGAAATAAATTGGTCAAAGGACTATATGTTTTTTTAAGAGAGGAATTACACTTTTTACTTCACTATATGTATTACATAGAAAACTTCCCCGCATAAAAGCGTGCAGATAACGGATTTTTCCTTTCAGTTGAATACAAGCATGATAGTTATATCAAACACTTTACTGTGATATGTGGGATATATCAAACACTTTTAAACTTCTCTGATTGGCCGAGAGAAAACAGCTGTGGTCTAATATTATCATCGCTTTTATTATCTTTACAACACAGGCAGACGGTATGTGGCTTGGATAGTATAAATGTACATGCATGACCACTCCAACTTTTTTGATAAATTATATATCTTTTTTTGATTCAAAATATCAATGTTTAAAACATCATATTTACAGTAAAACAACAATAGAAAGTAAATGTTTTAATGTTATCCTTATAATAGTATACTATATTAAGAAATAGATAAAAGATAGAAAGGTTGACCGGCCTTATTTTAAGTTCCAGATCTTTGTTAACCTATTTTCACCAGATGAAGTGCAATCTACAGTACTTAGAAATAATGTCTGTTTCAAAAATGTACAGTTTGTAGGAAAAGATCGGATTTTAAAACGAAACGGACATCGCTCGACTAGCCGTAAATAATGCACTTTTCGGCAGTTAGTCTTTGGATAAGGACCTCGAACACAATAGTGTCTAACCTACGCTAAGAAACTAAACATGTAAACAAATACATGTAGTTATTCAATGCTGGGAGTTGTTACCCAAGTTTATAAAGTTATAAGTTTAAAGTTAACCTTAAGTACTGATTCGCGAACAGAACGTGACCGTGCTTCAGTAAGTCATACCTTAAAGACAGACTGTGGTGTGATGGTGACCCCTGAGACCAAGCTTGCTTTGGATATTTACAAGAAGAAAATTATAAACGAGAACAATGATACAATGCGTAGTGAAAAAATAACATACATTCGAAAAAAGGTTGTTAAGAAACAATAATGTAGTGCTCCGGTGAGCGCCAATAAAATGATAAGTCAATCGGACGTTCAGACGGACATATGACTGATCATTATATTTATGAACTAAGGTCGGACTTCGGAAATAATTAGTTCAGGATATCATCAGAATAGGTAGATTACCTTTAATAAACCGCAAATGTGACATGATGACTAAAATCTAGTTCAATTTATGACAAATGAATTTATTGATTAATTCCCTTAACAATAAATGTCAGGATTGCAGCTTTCAAATATCAAATAGTGCAATTAAATAATGGCATAATGAATTGCACGAAAACAGCTTAAAGTATGTCAACTTGTGCATTTAGATAAATATTACAGTCTACAAGGCTTCGGAGACCATTTTTAGTTATGAAATAATAAAATACATTTTCTCATCAAAGTAAAAATCTGTCTTTAAATTCTCTCAGGGTCTTTCAAATAGAACTATTTGAAAGACCCTGATTCTCTCTCAAATAATTACTTAAATAATTATTACTCATCTAAAATTCAATGTCCGAAAATGAATTCAATTAGAACAAGAGCACCGCTAGGCGGAGCATTATATGCCCGAAAGTGTTTTTTTTTTAGAAAAGATGAAGCATTTGTAAGACATTGGAATTAAATAAAGTATTACCTCATTCAAAAAACAAACCTCCTATGAAGTTTGAATATTGTGGTCCAAATGGAAATTAAGTTATGCCCCGGACACTGTTTTCAGTTTTAAGATAATAGTGACCTTGACCTTTGACCTTGTGTCTCCAAAATCAATAGGTGTCTTCTACCTTTTATAGACAATCATCCTATGAAGTTTGAACACTGTGGCCAAATGAAACTTAAGTTATGTTCCGAAAACTGTTTTCAGTTTTAAGGTAATAGTGAGCTTGACCTTTGACCTCGTGACCCCAATCACAATAGGGTTTTCTACTCAATATGGACAATCATCCTATGAAGTTTGATTATTGTGGGCCAAATGGAACTTAAGTTATGCTCAAGAAACTGTTTTCAATTTCAAAGTAATAGTGACCTTGACCTTTGACCTTGTGACCCCAAATCAATAGGGGTCTTCTACCCAATATAAACAATCATCCTATGAAGTTTGAACACTGTGGGCCAAATGGAACATGTGTTATGTTCCGGAAACTGTTTATAGTTTTGAGGTAATAGTGACCTTTGACCTTGTGACCCAAAATCAATAGGGGTCTTCTACCCAATACGGACAATCACCCTATGAAGATTGAACATTGTGGGCCAAATGGAACTTATGTTATGCTCCAGAAACTGTTTTCAGTTTTAAGGTAATAGTGACCTTTGACCTTGCGACCCCAAAATCAATAGGGGTCTTCTACCCAATATGGACAATCATCCTATGAAGTTTGAACACTGTGGGCAAAATGGGACTTAAGTTAGGCTCCGGAAACTGTTTTCAGTTTTAAGGTCATAGTGACCTTTGACCTTGTGACCCCAAAATCAATAGGAATCTTCTACCCAATATGGACAATCATCCTATGAAGTTTGAACACTGTGGGCCAAATGGGACTTAAGTTATGCTCCGGAAACTGTTTTCAGTTTTAAGGTCATGGTGACCTTGACCTTGTGACCCCGAAATCATTAATCCTAACCCTAACCCTAACGTCATAAAATTAAGACGGACAAAACTTTTAGTGACAATTTTGAATAACTTGGTACCAACCCATCATTGATTAACTTGTTTGCAAAATCCCTCTTTGTTTAAAACAACTTGTCTGCAAATGCAAAGTATACCAAACAGTAATTTTATTGTAAAATTCTTTTAAAACGCTATAATTCATATCTTTAAGGTCATTTTCGCTCACTTTCGTCAAAAAAGTCACTTTCGTATTTTAGGCATACCATGATTTCGGCATTTCTGGCCCGCTTTTCTTGTTTTTACAGCGTGTTGTTTGCACGATATATAGCGGAAGTCAAAATATGAGATAATAAAAACAGTTTGTAAAAATTGTTTCAGTATTTGTTTGAAGTACATGATAGTACAAGATAAGATATGAGTTTTAAAGACCATCCTTTAGCATTAAGTATGTTAGTTTCATCGTAAATGCCAATGAGTATTTTAATTTACCTCTTGTATTTCGATTCAACACCGGTATATCATAAGGTGGGTGGGGTAACAATGGTGAAAGGTCATGACTAAAGTTTGAACAGTGGCATGCTGATCATGATATCTGAAATTGAATATGAATCAAAAAATATATATACACTTAACAAAACTTATAACTGTGCAGTTTTTAAATGTGAATAACTTTTTTATTACTTGACATTTTTTACCCAAATTTTGGAATTCATCGTTTGAATGGTTTATGTTTACAATGCTATATTCAGAAATAACGGTTATTTTTGTTGTGTGCGTTCATCCGTGACATGACATAAACAACAAAGTGCACGTGAGGGTGACAGGTTGGCGCTAAATGAAGTTATTATTGACCATCAAGGATTCTATTAAAATAAAGACATCCAAAAAACATAAATTTATTGCAGAATTTTTGCAATTGAAAGAAAAATGGCCGTCTAGAAGTTTTACGCAAGGGAATTTGCATTTCAGGCGCCCATTTTGAAAATAAATTTGCATAATATTTTCTCAAATAAACATACTGACTAAGATTTTACTTTAAAACTAAAAACAAACTTTCTTGGTACTTTCATATTAATGAAAATATCGTGTTTGCATTGCTTTTAGCAACTGGGTACAACGCGTTACGGAGATCGACATAAACCAGTCTTTACTGAAATTCAATAAAGCAAATATTAAAATCACAGTGACATAATGCCCTAGAATTCATTGTAGTATTATACCCTATCGGTGATCCTATGTTTTATGTTTGTATTTTAGTGAAATCAAGAGATTTAGACCTTTTTGCACCCAATATAAATACACATTTGACAGAAATGTGAAATTCGGTTTTCGCGCAATATTGCACACATCGCTATTTCTCAGTAAGTACGAATCGCCCTGACATAAAAATCGATACCCATCATTGCACATATCTGTACTATACTTGGTTAAAATTTCAGAGACCTATGTTTATTAGTATCTGAGAAAATTTGATTTTTATACGTGCACACTTATAAGATTTGTTAAGTGTATATATAACCCTATTTTTAACTATGATCATGTGACCAGGTGGGCTCCAGCCCATATACATAGATAAAAGTAAGGAAGTGGCTAGCTGTACGGGCCCGTACGGCTAGCCAAAAGTTCTAGCCGTACGTGAGTCACGTACGACTAGGCAGGACTCACTGTATTGTCTAGCCGTACGGCACTTTTCAAAATTATATGGAAGTCGAACATGCATATGTTATTTTATGCCTCATGATTATGGTTTGTTGTTTTATTTGTATGAAAGGTGAATTTTTGTTAATGAAGCACAATCATGGATCGAATAAATAATGATCGGAGTGGATAAAAAGAACATTGGAAAAAAAAAACCGGTGAAATGCAAAATAATTGTATAATTTTCAAATACAGTAGATAAATATTGAACATAAAAGCACAATCACAGTCTTCACGAAAAACTTTAAAAAGCACAGGACATTCGGGCCAGTAAAATTTCAAATCTTACTGGACCTGATGATTTTTAGCCGGACCAAATACATTTATAGGTAATAATTTGATGGGTAAAGGAAAACACTTTATCATGTTTCCCTTGATAATTTTGAAAGAAGCATAAATAAATACTTCTTGTATTCTGGGCCATACATGACATTGTATGTTGACAGCTTTGAAAAATCTATAAAGACCAAATGTTTAGGCTAAATTAACTAGAACTGAACATGAACAATGCAATTTGCTTCAAACGAATCACTTTCACACAAAATATTTACTTAACTCAATAATCACAAAATCATAGGTAAATAAAGACCATAATAAACAATGATTTAATTTCCGTAACTGTACGGTGCGGTACGGAAAATATCCAAGAAAAAAAATGGCGGCCTCCATTACTCGATACAATTTAGGCATCTCTCGCTGTGTTTTGAACATTTAGGACAGAATTGATGGGTTTCATTTGCAAAAAAGGCAAATCTTTTAGAGAGCCCTGCTTCATTATTTCGATGAATTTTTCTTATAATATTTTTGCATTGCCAAAAATCTACTGGCCTGTCGGACCACCAACCTTGCAATAATCACCGGACCGATGCTAAATTTAGTGGCCTCGGGCCTCGGACTGGCGTTAATTTCGAAGACTGCAATCAATTAATTGGCCTTAATTAAAGCCTATCCAGGGACTGACAATAGAATTTTAAAATGCGTTTCACGAAACATGCAAACTTTCCTTATGTTAACAAACTTCTATACCGTCGGTAATTGACGCAATTTCAGAGCCCAACAACAATAATTTTCGTTGTTTTTTTTTGTTTCATTTTAAAGGTGTCGAAAAATAAACTTAATGAAACAAAAAAGGATTATCAAAATTTGTAAACTATTTCAATTGATGTTATTTAACTGCAACCAAATGCGTATTTTTTCTCAACGTATTGAGACGACAAAGATCGATATTCGTTCTTTTTTTACTGTAGCCAACAAGGCGATTAATCTCTACAAAGTAAACATGCAAAGACAATTGCTGTTTCTTGGTTAAAATCCTCGCTTAAAGTCATAAAATAACATATGTATTTTCGACTTCCATATAATTTTGAAAATGCCATACGGCTAGCCAATACAGTGTGTCCTGGCTAGTCGTACGTGACTCACGTACGGCTAGAACTTTTGGCTAGCCGTACGGGCCCGTACGGCTAGCCACTTCCTAAAAGTAATGACCAACCACACTGGCTCCAGCCAGCAGTCAGTATAAGGGTCCAATACCAGTGTTTTTTTTCATCAAAATATTCGGCGAAATTCTCCCCATTCCCCACTCAAAATAGTATGTTTTTTTCCCCCCTCAAAGCTGAAATTTCCCCCTATAATATGGCAGCCCAAGTTTGCCTGCAATATTGAATAAATATCATTTTTTTGCAACTAACTGCCGAAAAATGCTTTATTTTATACCTGTAAGACTTACTGTTTAGCAAGGTTTTTCATATAGGTAAGGGGAGCTACTCCTGGTATCCCAACAAGTTTATCATGTGACACATCAATATTTTAGATCCGTATAAAAATCCCCCTCCTATTGCATTTTCCCCCCTCCAATGGGCACCGACCCCTTTCCCCCAAAAGTGAAAAAAAACACTGAATACAACAAAAGGCTGTGATCGAGTATACTATATATATTTCTCAAACCCAGGATTTTGAGACCTATCTTGACAACAGTTGAAATAAAGTTTAAGTTCAATGTAAGAAATTAGGATTTGAATCCACTAGCTGACTAGGCCGGTCGGACTACCAGATTGGAATCCTTGAGTGACCAGTTTCGACGCCCTTAAGGATTGTTTTGTATGCGTCTATTAAAACCATGTGATTGTATTGTATAAAATGTTTTAACTTTTTAAAAAATCTCTACCCTTTATGAAATGGGTAAATTTAAGCTGTTTTCCAGCTATTCCTTTTCATGAACAATCCTACTTTCACTTCATCCGGGAGCGGCCATTTTTATTGAGAGTGCCCTAAAACGACGCCATTGATTGGCTAATTTAAGTTAAAACAAACATTTTTACAATAAAAGTGATAGATTTTCAATCAGAGCATATATTATCAAGAAATTATATCAAATCATAAGTTAAAAAAATCTTTGATATTACTAACGGCTAATTAGCAATACGCTATAAATAATTAATCTGTTAAACCTTGAAAAAAAAAAATATATCTAAAGTGTTAGCTAAATGATTAATAGAGATCAAAAGATAATGATTTTTGAATTATATTTATAATTAATTTTGTTTATCAAAAAGTTTTTGCATTTGTCAAATGTCTTATAAATTAAAGATTAAGTGTCTTTATTTAGGTGTATTTTTTGTTACACCTTGAAAAAAGCATTTATCTAAATAGCGGTCTATAATGGATTATCAATTAGGGATTAAAATGTCATAATTGTTTGTGTGCCATCAATCAATCAATAAACTACAATTTTCAACGATTTTAAGCATAAAAAATCCTTTTTTACATAAATAAAACTGTAATTAAAAAAGGCCGAAATGTCTTGTGGAAAAGGGCCGAAACGTCTAGGGGCCGATTTTTGCAAAGGGGCCGATTTGGTTTGGGGCCGAAACGTCCTGCTTGCGTGTTAATATCCTATCTGTCTTCTATTAATGTCAAACCCCTCGCGGGGACTTAGACATGACTCTAGACTAGTCACTTCAGAGAAAGCGATGAGTTACAAGGGAATCGGGGAACCAGTCCCTAGCTCTTATTGAAAAGACCCCTAGGTTATTTTTTACATGCCCAGCGTATAGCATGGATACATGCGAGGATTACCTGGATTTGTTACCAGTACACCTCTAGTTGGTGGGAAACACTAAAAGTGTTTCTGATAAATACCAAGGATCGAACCCGGGACCTCAGGAGTGACAGCCAGTGGTCTAACCAACTGAGCTATCGCGTCACCATTTAGATATCGTGCCACCATACATGTATATCTATCTACTGGTTTTAGAGATAACTCTGACACTAAATCACATATTTTTTGCAATACACCCATTGATAGTCTCTATATGAACTATGTAAATAACCGAGGTATATTGAGTGAAAAATACGGTTTGTTTCCCTTATCTTCTAGTAAAATCGATATCTCTAATGAGCAAACTATACAAATTTAGCTGTTTTTAATTTGCTAGTTTGGGGCAATTTATTGTCCGATTTTAAAATTTATTTCACCAATAAAAAGCATATTATGATCTTAGCTTCTTCTCGGTATATTTGACACTATTAAGGTTTTTAAATTTACGGTTAAAGCTACCACAAGTCAAACCATTTTACATATGATTTATTATACAGTGTGATATGCAAACGGTTATCTGTACGCGCAATTCTACTGGTAAGAAAAGCCTGTCATCTGCTAGTTCTGAAACTGTCAATCTGTGTATATCCTCATTACCCAGTGATTTGCCTACCTATAGAACAGACTCCGATAAAAGGCCTCTCTCCAATTGAAATTTTCTTTAAAATCATGCAGTTTTCCCCAAAAAAATCTGAAATTAA